TTCCCCAGACCATCAGTCTGATACGGCCAGGCAAAAGCAAGGCAGTCCTGGAATATATAAAGCACTGTTTTCAGTAAAAGGCTATGGTAAAAAGAAACATGGAAGGACCTGGAGTACTCAGGGAAGATGTACTTAACTACAATGCAGACATAGAACTCACTATAGAGAGCATATCTGAAAAATTAGATTGGAACAGGTATGACTACTTTCTTTGAGCATAGATACAAGTAAAAACAAATATGAACTTACGTAAATTTTAAGTTCAAAACTCGGTAGTACTCAGGAGTTCAGTTTTCAAATGTCTGGAGTGGTTATTTAGAGTGGGTATTTTACTAAAATGGTGCCATTCAAGTTAACAGCTGAATGCAAGTATTTCATCCTGATTGCCCTGGTTGAAGGATATGTGGCTAATGCATGCACAGCATTGCCAAGCCTAGACTGGATAAAGACTCCCTGCTTCAAAAAAAATTTAATTTATAAAAATATGGGTGAATACTTTGCAGCTAAGACAATACGAGGATGTTATTTTTAGCTGCTAGATGTGTGCTCAAGAGTAATGCAAATTGATTTATGTTTAGTGCAGAAATTACTTCACTGTTTTAAATTGTTCTGGAAGACCAAGAACATTACCCTCATCAGGAAGGTTTCTGCACTTGACCAACCTCCTCCAAATAATCAATTGCCTTAGTAATCATACTCCTCCTTGTTAAAAGCATTGGCAGAATAAAAGCCAATATGGTTTTGGTTTTCCTTAGTAACTGGATCTTACTAGAAAGCCCCCATGAAAACCATTCTAAGTCACTCAGCATCTACTGCAAGAAGCATCTCTGAGGAATGTTGAACCAGAAGTGATGTGAGATCACTCTGCTACTGAAATGGAAGGTCATTCCTTCTTTGTACAAAAGAAGGATTTTATTTCAGCAGGAAGAGCAATCTGATCTGACTGCACACAATGCCTGTTCAACCTTAAAGAGGTGCTAGGAATGTGCCTTTAGGTGGTAGCAAGGGCCCAGGTCACCTTAGTGAGCTTGACATGCCTTAGGAAGGAAATTGCATGCACTATCTTTGATACACTAACCACCTTTTTAGAATATTTTTATAATCTATTAGGTGAATAAACAAAAAGAAGCTTTTATTTCAAAACTATTTTTAGGCCAACACTATGTAGAAGTAATTGAATTTTTCAGGACTATCTCTTTTAAGATGAATTTTTAAAGAACTTCAACCTTATTCTCTTTCTTGAGTAGATGGATGTGGATGCCTATGGTTCACAGACCTTGAAAGATAAATGCAAGAAATCTTTTCAGACTGGTAAAACACTTGAGGCTGGATGCTGTGAAATCGTGTTTTCCACTTGGAGTCCTATCTGTCGGCTCAACTTCAGATTAGTCACCATTGCCCATGCAAGGCCATATGAAATTTGGAATGGAAAAAGTCTCCTTTCATGAGCGGAAAAAATGTGACTTTTGAGTTTTTGACTGTTGTCTTTGCTCCACACTCATCTCCCCAGGAAGTACAGCCAGTCATTACTGTTGTGAACTCTCTGACACTTTCCCAGTTGGTTGCTTCAGATAAGTTTTTTCTTCTAATAACTATTTTCTCTCTGAAATTAATTGCATTTTATGGAGCAACCTCACTTGTGGTTTAATTGTCAATAATTGAACAGACCTCCTACAGTCTCAAAACATATTTTTCAAGTTTTCAGGTCCATGATTCTGCCCTTTTTTTTTTTAAGGCTAAACTTTTTTCTCTCCACACAGTACATTGTTCACCAGAGAGCCTGTTACAGGAATAATTGTTTTCAATTTTTGCTGTCTTGCATCTTTCAGCACATTGGGTTATATTTAATTTCCATTTGTAATTCCACTATGCAGGGACAGTAACAGCTTCATGAAAACTGTTCCTGAAAGTAACAGAAATGTGACAAAAGATTACAATACCATAAATGAGCTAAAGGAAACCTGGTCTAGATTACAGGATTTTGTCTTCACCTTAATGAAAATACTTTATAGATATTTAGTACTGGAGTGTCACAAGTCTCTCCACACCTCTTTGAATAAAGAAGATGTAACTTTACAGAAATCAGTATTTGTGACATTAAAACAACTGCAGTGAAAGGAAGCCTACTGAAAGTGCATGCCCAGTATCTTCAAAATCAAAGTATCTCAATCTGCAGATTGAGCCATTATGATGTCAGGAGTACTGTCATCATCCAGCTTTTCTTGGTAATGCAGTTGTTTACCTACCTGGCAGGACATGGTCACTCTACTGTTTGGAAATCATGGACATGAAAACACAACTGGCATGAAGAGATTTTGTAGCACAGCTCTAGAATTCACTTGACAAAACTCGCTAATGAGAATTTCCAATTAAAATAACAGATTAGGAATTAATTAATCTCATTGATTTACATTTTTAGCTTGCTCAGGATACAAATAACATTCCAGAGTGGTCTGTTCAGAAAGCAGGTTTCACCTTGGGTCAAGTTTGTTTCTAGAGTAGCCTCTGAATAGAGAAGAGGCTTTTTTGCTGAAAATGTCTGTATGGGAATCTGGCCGCTAGTGTATTAATGCCAGAGAGCAGGGAAGCAGCTCCTGAATTTAATGAAGATTTCAATGCTGTTAGCCCAAGGAAATATTGATTAAAGGAAAGCACCTTTGCTTGTGGAGCCTTATTTTCTTTGCCACACATCAGTTACATGCTGTTGGCCTCAAGAAACAGGAATAATTTTGAATTGTTTTATCAGCCTGTTCTTCCCTGTCCCAGCTCTGCACAGGGAAGGTTATCTGAAGGGAACCTACACTGAAATTTGCTGCAATAATTTTTTTTTTTTAATTAGACTGATCTAATTTCTGTTCATGATAGTTACATAAACAACTGCAAAATATTTAAATTACAAAAGCCATTAACTTTTAGGAACTAAGTGCCAATGCCATACATTGAAAATCCAAGTATTTATTTGTTCAGGTTAACACTGAAGAACAAGAAAAAATACCATGTGTTTTAGCAACATCTCTATTATAACCAAAGATTCAGAATATTCCTCTTTTTTGTCAAAAACCTTCCATTGTTTTACTTCCTAAAGTCATTCAATCTTTACAAATATAGTATTATTTCAAAGAAGATGGAGCAAAGCTGCTGGCTGCCCCTTTGTGGGGAGGTCACAGAGCAAGATACACAGGGAAGAAACAACACTATAAACATCTTCCATTTCTAGTCTCCAGATTTCCTCTTTAACTACTAGAAATACACCTGGAAAGTTTTGCTTATTTGATCTCATTTTTTTCCCTAGAAACAGGTGATTTTTCTGGCTCAAACTGGAAAACAGCATCACCTACATTAATTTCTCCACCTTTAAAAATAAATAGGTATAAAAAAATTCTTTAAGAGAAATGCATAAATTTCTGGAAGTATTATGCTGTAGCTTGTTTTCAAATTACAATTAATGAATTAATAATAATTAAGCACTGAAGCCCTATCTACCCAATTGTTTACTTAAAGACCTTCTACCCTGAGTAGGAGACATCCCCTTGCATTTTGTGCTCCTTGACCTGGGGATGTGCCAGGGAGGTGAAGAGTCATGTATTTGAGAGATGGAAAGGTACAAATAACACAAACAAAGCATCAAACTCTCCCCCCAAACCCTGACCAAACCTGTTTGAGGTTGTTCCTTTTCCTTTTATTGGTTGCCTAGTGTCTAAGCCCACCTGATGGAACCAGTAACAACCATAACAACCATATGAACTGTGAAATAACACTGGGCAATAGAAAGACACATTACCACCTTGCAAAACTAATTCAATCAATAAATTACCCGAATAAAAAAATATAAAAATGGAAAAAATATTCATCAATTACACCCATTTTAAAACAAATCTCAAGCTAATTTGGGGATACTTAGTTTATCTAAGATAACTCCATAAAATGGAAACAGAATATTTCTCCAGTGTAAAGAGGCCATAATAGTTTTACAGAACAAATAGTTTGAACAGCAAGATTAGTTAGAAAATGTGGAAATGGTTCATAGGTATTGTGGTTTCTTTCAACAAAAATGTTCTTCAAATACTTGGGTACTAGTACATCCCAAGAAATGGAAATGTGGCTCTGCTCCAAGTGAGGGCTGTGGAAATGGAATCCTGCTATTGCAAACATTTCATTACTAGCTCCTATAGACCAGAGCTTCTCATTTCCCCAAAAAAACCTTTTTTTCTTCTAAATGTCAATCTGTAAATTTACCTTTTAGTACAACAGCCAAACTGATTTTTTTCCTTCTCAATCATTATGTGTAAAAATTACAGTTATGAAGGTCAAGCTAGTCCTGAATGGCACCTGTATAACGTGGTCACATCTAATTAATTTGTCTGTAATGCAGCCCTCATTTCCATCTTAATTCCTAATAATTAGTGGCATATCTATCTTCCCTGTAAATTGTCAGATGGATTTTTCTCCATTTCAGGCAGGGTATAGATTCTTACAGCCTTCTTAGAAATTCAAATTGATTCCTACCTAAATGTCTTAGAATCAAGACAGGAATCAACTTTAAAGATTCTTTTCACTCCCATTGAGGGTGCCTTTGCTCCTGCATGCCACAAAAGCCAATCCTGAACCTCAAACAAGATAACCTGAACAACTCCAGCTCACATGGCAGAAGTACCTTGTCATGGTGGCTTCAAAAATGCTCTTTTAAGGAATAGTAGGACAATGGAAAATCAGCATCATTTTTTTAAACCTTCCTGAATATTCTCATAAGATAACTTATTAGAATAGAAATTTGTCTTAGTTCTTTTTGTCTGGTCTATTATTGTTCTGCCTAGACAAGAAGCAAACATGGGATTATCATCCACTTTGTTAGCAGGCTTGGAATGAGGCAGACAAAATATCAGCAGTTTTCCACACCAGTGCAACAAGAACCCTACTTTCCTTTCTGTGAGGTAGAGGAAAAACACCAAAGGAAAGAGATTTAAATAAAGAATTAAAATAGAAAAGCTATTCAAACTTACCTTGCCAGCCTGGTTTGCACATGGGTTTGACATTAACTCGTACCAAGACATCTTCTGTTGCATGCTTTTGCCCACAGTCAAAAGCTGTGACCATTATCTCATACTTCTGCTGTTTATCATAGCTCAGTTTCTCAGTGTTCCTGATGTTACCTAGAGGTTCAACACAAGAAAACATTCAGAGATTCATTCTTGGCTTAGCATCCACATACTGCAACATTTGGGTCCTGGTTCATCAAGTGGTTTGTGACTGAGCTCTCTGAAGCACACATGACATGCAGGATGTTCTGAGGAATAGGAAGGATTTTCTTTCACTCCAGCAGAGAAATAAGAAGCTTGTAGTAAAATATAAGATGGGAATGATATAATGTGGGCATGGCTCTATCAGAAAACATCTGTTTAATAAGACTTTCTGAAGTAAGATGGTAAAAGTAATTAGCAGTTACATCTTGACATGTGCAATGAGTAGGTGCGCTCTCTTTTTCCACATTTGCCACAATACATGGCTTTAACAGACATGTTCCTGAGATCCACTACTGAACCTAAGTATCTTCCTGTTTTCTCTAAAGCAATTACCCTGTAGGTGAGAGACATTTTTAAAATAGGAAAAGCCCTAGAATCGCCTGTTGCATTACAGTGCTTAGTAGTATTTGATAGGGCAGCACAGAGTTATCACATGCAAGATAAAACGCAGCAACAACAGAGTTTATCTGCTCAACCTGACACACATATAAAGGTAACAAATTGCCTGCTTTGGGACCAGACATCAGAACTTTCAGAAGGAAAGGGAAAGATCTTTCTCTGAATAGTTCCTGGAGGACTGGGAGAGCACTATGCAAAATATATGGGTTTTATATTAACAAGTTTGGCATTTTAATTCTGTACATTTCCACTGAAATTTACTTTTTTGCACAAGTTGAAACTTCATCCTGTTTATTAATTTCATGCTATTGCTTTTGCAGGGTTGTTTGTTTTACCATCTCTTGGAATGAGGATTTTTGTTCTACAATTCAAGGAACAAACTTACTCTGCAGCAGTGCTACAAGCTATCTGCTGGCAAGCAATGATCAACAAAATCCTTGCTTGTTAAGCAGATTTGTAGCACAAAAAAACTGTGCTAAATTTAAAATGGACAGCCCCCATAGCCTGGAATTTAGTCAGATGTAGTGAACTGATCCCTACAGGTGCTTGCAAAAGTCTCTTTTGTTAGACAGAAACATTAGGTTTGGTTTGAGCATTTGGGTTTCATTTTCTTTTTTCTTTTCACTCAAGTGAGTGAGAGACAGGAGAAAGCAAACAAATTCAGCTTCTTAAAATAAGTCTTCCACTAAAGCTCCATTAATTTGACAAGTGAAGTCTTTTAGCAGGTATCTTTTTGCTTCTCACTCCTTATCTTGTCAAAGCCCACCACTTTGCCTTTTGCTACTACTACATTAAAGCCAACGTTAGGAGTTTATTGAAATGGATGCAAAACTTTCCAGGTCAGGCCTGAAGAAAACCTGCTGTTTGCATTTATCACCACCTTCAGGTTCAAAACCTGTAGTTTAAGTAGATCCTTGCATCTGCAGTTTAAGTCAGGTCCAATAAACCATTTACTGCTGAGTCTGAGTCTCTCCCGCTCCCTTTGTGAGCAGGACACACAGGAGGACAAGCCCTTCTCATATTTTAATGTCCTGAAAGAAGAAATGGAATGAGCTGCTAAAGGCTGATTTGGACACAGGGCAGTGTCCTGCAGACTCTGGGGTTTTCTCTCTGGGGTACCTCATGTTGTCAGGCATTTTCAGGCCTGCCATGGACACAGATTTTTCCTCCCCACAAGAACTGCAACAACCACATCAACTACTTCATTGGGTTTTGAGTTAGTGATTGACAAAGCAATCTAATCACCCATTTTACTATCTTGAGTTGCCTGATTAGTGGCTGCCTAAGAGGATTTAATGAAAAACTGCCACTGTATACACCTAATTAGTGACTTTATATTTGCTCAGTTCTTCTGTCCTTTCTGTATGATATTACTTTGTACATGAATCTTTATATTTCCCTATTTGGTTCTTCTTGGTATTATTTTAGTCTGTGATCAGCAAGGATAATTCTGAATAAAGCAAAACTGTCCTAATTTTCATTAGCAGATTGCAGAAATTTGTGTGGCACATTAACTGTCCTACAGGATTTATAAATCTTACACCATATTTACATTTCATTAAATCTATCTTCCAAGAACTGTATTTCATTCTGACCATTTCAGATTTGTACTACAGGGATTCTGACTCTTAGGTGTTATTCTGGAAACTCATTTGGATGACTTGCAGATGTTACCCAATCGTTTATTGATTTCCTAATATTTTTTTTCTCTTACCTCTGATGCTTTATGATTCTTTGGGTTTTTATAATTTAATCAATACAATTAAAAAGCAGACACAGAAGGAAAGTACTATAAACAGACTAACTAAATTTTTAGAGATGATAGTCTGAAAGCTTCTGTTTGCATCTCACTCATAGACAAAAAAGTAATTAATAACATTAAAAATAAGAAATTTTAATGAAGTAAGTAAAGTTCTACACAATTCAAAATTAGACCATACATTTTTTATTCAGTCTTCCAAAATATCTGCCTTTTCCTAGAAATACCCAGAGCTATAACCAATTTTCAAACAGCAAAAAGCAGATTGGTGACTAGAGCCCTTCCTGAGGACACAGACATTTACACTTCTGTTTCTTCAAAGTCAGTTTTAGGGGTAGATGGATACAGGCATCCCTCTTTTATAGCCCTTCCACCTTACTTTGGAGCAGACATAAGAATGGGGAAAGACTTGACTGATTTAGTACAGCAATTGCCTCCTGAATTCCACAGTTACTAAATCAATTGAGCTGCTTGTCAAAAAGGTTCATTTTTAAATGATAAAGGTAAAAAAAATGTCATTTAATAAATTTATAAAAATCAAATGCAGATGTTCAGCTATAAAGTTTGGCTTTACTTTTCTGTCAATATGAAGTGCGCACAGCTCCTACCACAGCTCTGGGTACTGTAAAGGGGGATATTGTGAGGTCATGCCCTGTCTAGGATTTGTAGCCTAATAAATCCTGTATGGACTGGACAGGTTCCTGTCTAATCTTCACACTGAACAGTTTGAACATGCATTTGTGAAGTGCTCCCCAGAGATGGGTGGCAAATAAGAATCATTGGCATTTTTGAGGTGAGACTATGTCAGAGATGTGACAGAATTTGTATTTATACCCGAGTTCCCAGATCCTCTGACCATCTTCCCTGACAAATAATGCACAATATATGTGAATAAAAATGGTTTTTGCTGGCATTCTGACAGATCTGTGCATTGTGGTTTAATTTTTCTGTCACCTGTAAAAAGCCTACGCAATATTGCTACAGTAACTGACTTGATTTGGATTCTCTGCTAAGGATAAAATGAGATTAATCTACAATACTACTTCAAAATATATTATGCCTTATACCTTTAATCACAGTTCTTTGCACAGTAAAGCATAGATTTTTACTCTGCCTTTACATGATTGTATTTTATGACTTAGAGTTTATTATCCTCCAAGTTGGGCTCATCATATACAAGACTGAATTTTATTAGTGCTATAGTTTCACAACACAAAGTAATTTTATCCACAAGGAAATAACATACCAAGGGCCAGAGTTCCCAAATATAACTGGGAAGCTTTAAATTACCTCCCCAAAGTGCCTAAGCTACAAGGACATGTAGAAAATACCCCCAGGCTGATACTGCTTGCTGTGCCCACCCACTCCTGCCTCCCATAGAGTGAGGATGAGGCAGCCTGTGCACCAATATAGCCTGCAGAGCTCTCTCTGCCTCTCTGCAAACCTTCCCCAATGTGTAATACAATTTTTCAAGGCCATTAAAATGCTCCATGCATGGATCTAGGGACAAGAAGTAAGTTTTACCTAACAAGACACTGACCTGCCAAAGCAAAAAGAGCTGATCATAATACAGCTTCACCTTTTTGCAAACCTACATTTAGGGTTAAATATGTTGCTCATGAAAAAAGTCCACTGTCTGGGGCAGACAGTGGCATGTTTTCCTCACAATTCACCCTACCTTCATCTCTTGGGGCCCCCTGAAATATTTAGATTTGATTTTAAGGTATTTGCTTATCCTCTTTCTGAGTAATGAAGCTCAACATATAAGTGACTGAAAAACATAAAAAAAATCATAACCTGCAGAAGACACAAGAAACTAGATTTGAATTTCACAATGGCTAAAAATACTCCTGTTAACAAAATCCTAATTAGCACAATATTACCAGACAGTCCCAGGAATCTCATACATCTGTTTTAACCACCCTCTACCAGGAACAAAAATAGACATGTTCCAAAAGAATTTGCACCAGAGAAAGTTTCTATCAGCTGCCTTTGAGAAACATTCTCAGCAGTGAAATATGTTGGAACTAAGCAACAATTTTTTGTCACAAAATACATGTATAGTCATCTATTCTAACTTTGTCTCTAATCCCAGTGGGTTTAAGCAATTACCATTATCTTTAAAAATTGCAAATTAGACTGCAATTACTGTTGGTTGTGACAGCACTGTTCTTTTAGTGAACAAATAGATCAAAAATATTAATTAAACTCATGACCAAGAAACTGCAAGTATTACAACCTTATACCAATTATTCACTGCAGGCTTTAAAGTAACATTTAAATCAATGATTTTCTCATTGCTGTTGCTGAAAAGCAGGTACCAGGCACATGAGGACAAAGATGTAACCAAGGACTCCTGACATTTCCTATGCTTTTGATCATATCTCTGACTGTAAAAAGACATGAGTACTCCTGAGGCAGCTGCTCTGTGTGACTGGAGCTCAAAAGGCACAAGTAATAGAAATTACTTTTCTGTATCACACGAATTGCAGGGTATTCTGTCCCTTATATCTTCCACAAACCCCACAGGAAATTACGAGACAACATGTGACTTCTCTAAATACCCACCCTTCACACAGGCAAGTCACGCAGAGCCTTGGAAAAAAATGGATTCAGAGACATAGAGAGCGTTCTTTTATGACAGCATGGGAAATCTCACAGTTAGGAAAAAATCCATGGAGAGGAAAACCTTATAGGGAATTGCTTCAAAATATGTCCTTCCAAATGCTCACTTGCTGTAAAAAAAATCCTTTGTGCAGTTCTCTGGATTCTCAAGAATCCTTAGGGCTACTGTGCCAGCTGCCCTCATTTACTCAAGCACAAACATATTCCTCATGATTGCACTTCCCATACCATACACTTGCTTCCCAGTGTGTGATAATGAGATGGATTTTTCCCCAAAGTAATTAAAATTTATTGATGTAACAGGCTATTGTCTTCTGATGCTCATCTGTGTATTGTGCAAGAACTGAACAAATACAAGAACTGAACAAGGTAAAGTTTTTATAAAACATCCCAACATGAAAATGACTGCTCAGAGAAAACAGTAGCTCCATGCATGCTTTCAATTTACAATTTGGCCAAAAATCAGGTTTGATTTCCAAACTGTACTCTCCTCCTACAAACATGGATTAAATGCTTCTGCTAGGAGAGATAAATCAGAGCATTGCTGGGTATGCACACAGGGTGTTTCTTCAGGGGAAACTATTTTGTATCATCTGAAGGAAGCAGAGAATGGGAGCAAGGGCCTTCCACATGCTTTTCATGCAGATCAATCACCATTTCCAAACTCAATTCCATGTTCTTTGCTGATCCAGGAAGCTGACATACAAGGCCACCAAGATCAAAAACTGCTGCATATGGAAAACTTAATATGGTTTATTATTTTCACTAAAACACAAAATATCTACCTCAGAAAAACAACTAAAACAAACCAACAAAAACTTAAGAAATGGTACTTCTTCTCCAAAGTACATTTTCTGCCATGCTGCAGAGTAATGGATCCACTTCAGGAAGCACCACAAATGGGCAGGTCTGTGGATCCATGACCCTGAAAGTTTTAACAATGAATAAACATGCAGAATATTGCCATATTCAGGTTCTGCTTCAGGAAGTTCAGGGGAATGGGACTAGCTGTAATCCAGTAAATAAACCCTGCACTGGGGAATACAAGCTGCCTTGGGGAATGCCATCACTTGGATGGGAAACAGGATCTGAGACATTTAGGAGAATGGAACAAGTGACCAAGAATCATGCTGCTCACCTAAATCTGGTGGTTTAATTTCCACAGGAGATTACTGCATCACTTTCTGCCCAGTGTTACACAAAAGGGATGGAATATCTCAGGGTGAGGGTTCCTCCATTCTCAGAGATGAGAACAGGATCTCTTGCTGGAGTTCCCCCTCCAGCCAGGTGATCAGCTCATGCCCCCAAGCACTGCCAGCCCTGCCGACAGCCCTGCTGTGGCAGCACTCACCATTCCTGTCAATGGCAAAGGGAACATCTGTGGTGACAATCTCATAGTTGCAGATCTGGCTGTACTGGGGGGAGCAATCCTCATCTGTGGCTTCCACCTGCAGAATGCTGTCATAGATCTTCCCCTCTGTCACTGAGGCCTTGTACATGCTCTCCTTGAATGCTGGGGAGAACTCATTGACATCCTTTACCTGGATGTGGACTACTGCCCTAAAACCGGCACAGAAAATATCAAAGAGGAAAGTTAATTTATTGTGACACCTCACTAAAATTTATTTTCAAAACACTCAAAAAGACTAACAAAACATATCTAGAAAATTATGTAAGCCCATATTAAAATGAGATATTAGAATTTTCATTTTTAATTTGCCCAGTTTAGTATCTTAATGTGATACTAGGTAAAAGTCTGTTGCCATGGCTTGGAGAGAGTTTCAATGAGTTCCCTATCAAAATCTGCCTCAAAAATGAACCCCAGCAGAAAGCCAGTGATATCATTACATGGTAAAATAAGCAAAGACAAAAAGAATCACAGTAGTCTTCCATATTCACTACCTAAAAATGGTCAGTTTACAAACATTCTTCCATATTGAGTAAGGCTCTCACCTTCTGCTGATGATAATTATCTAATGCTTCAAGTAGTTGCAACACTGCACATGTAGCCCACCAAGGCATTTGATATTTAATGACTAAACCCTAAAGGCCTTGCATTGGAACACTTTGCTTTCTGGTGTGATAGGCAGGGTGACAGAGGGACACAAAAGGGATGTTCTGGAGCAATGGCAGAGCTCCAATAAAGGCTGGGATCCCAGGCAGCATGGCTAAGCATGTGCTACTAGACAAAATCTGGTGGCAGTGGGCCAGACTTCATTTAGTTAAGATTAGACCAAAATTTTCCACAACTGGATTTCTAGCAGATTGTTACTGATGTGAGAGGGGGAAACATAATAAAATTTGATATTGTGAAGCAAAACCTGTTTCTGTGATTTGATGGTTATTTGCCATTACAGGCTTTCTCTTAACTCTGTATTCTTTTTAAATATCCTGAAAACTTCAGCATGCATTACAGACCTAATCACATTTTTAATTGTCATATGTGCTGGATGAGCAAAAGGAGGAATGATTACTATAAATCATTTATTATAATGGCTCTCAGCAAAATGAACTATTTGTACAGCACTTATACATCTATGTGAGTTAAATTCATCTTTAATGACAAATGGTATGGAGCTTAGTTTCATTAATTCAAAGGGAAAAAAAGTCACTGTGCTACCTAAGCTTATTCAGGGAATTGGCTCCACAGTAAAAAGTACCACTTACTGACCTTCAATACATTCCTCTTCAGAGGACTCCACTTTCTCTGAGACTTGATGGACAAAAGCTGAGGTCAAAAGCACTGTTCAAATGTGACACTGCTCAGCTTATGATATAGATATGCTAAAAGAGGGGGATGATTCCTCTTTTCTTACCATTTGAAATAACATGAACAGAGAGAAAACCTATTTTAAAATTGCAACTATCAATTGAAAGCCAGTTTCTACGACCTGGATGTATTCAACATGAAAACACAAATGGAAAATATAAACCAAAACTGAGATGCATTTATCCACATGAACAGGGATCCTGTCCAAAGCTTTAACTGAAGCAAACAAAAAGGAATATGTTTTCTAATAGGAAAAAGGAATGAAAAAATTGGTGGAATATTGCAACTATGATTTATCTTTGTTTTAGTTGCTTTCTATCTGAAATAACATAGACTGTGGAGCAAATGTATGCCAAAGAATAAAATAATTTCTTCTCATTTCACTCACTTGTGAGATTTCTTCCAGTTTGTTCCACCTGGTCCTGATCCACAGTCATAGGCCTGGATGATGAATGTGTATTCCTTCTGCAGCTCACAGTCAATGGGACTCTTTGCTCGAAGCTGACCTTCTCCAGATGTCTTGTTCAGCACAACAGCCTCAAAGGGCATTTCTTGCCCATGGATTTTAAAAGCACAAATTTCACCTGTGAAGAACAGCACAAACCAATCATAACTGGGGGGGGGGGGGGGGGGGGGGGGGGGGGGGGGGGGGAATGGGGGAGGGTGTCTAAGTCTTATGCATTGGAGAGACACCTGCAGAGTTAATTTATATTTCACCTACTTTTCCAGAGGAGGGAAATACAGACTCAGGCACCAGGCCATTGTGTTTCCAAAAGGGCCCTTAGGTAGGTGTTGTGCTGAGTTCAGCTCTTCCCTCTTTCTCTGTCAGTACTAAATGGTTTCTGAAAGCCTCAGAGGCAATTCCATATGGTGCCAACAGCAACGGTGAGCTAAATTATATTTGAGCTAAATTAAGAGACTGTATTTATTTAAGGGAAATAGCAAAAAGAAAAATAGATAATACTTCAGAGGTGGTTCTTTTTTAAAATGTTGTCACTCATTGAGCCACTTGAGCTGCCAGGTGGTAGCAGATGTGCAGTTTAGTTTACCAACAGTGGAAAAACTAATGTTGCATCCTGCTTTATTTACAGACATACATCATCTTTGGATCAGAAGCAGTTGAAGGCACACAGACAAGTGTCACTTTTAGACATCTCAGTTACCCACCCAGATTCTCACTCTCATGCATGAGTGCCTTGTTGGCAGCAGCTCAGTCTGACTCCAAATTGTTTCCTAATATAGTAGATCCATACCATCTCTCAGAGGAGTACTAGAGAACAGGAGAGATGATATAGCAAGGACTAAAAAAATTGATTTGGTCAGAAAAGACAGCATAAGAGATCTTGTGAGATTATGAAACTGGAAAGGGAAAAAAGACCCAAATTCTGGTGTTCCTTTTTTTATCCTTCATAATGATAGCAAGGATATGCACACAGAGTTTATTTTATTTTATTTTTAGTTCAGCCTCTATATGCTGTTCCTGTGCAAGGTACTACAGAATCCAACTTTAATAATGAAATATTTATATAAAGATCAATATGACAAATATTTTAATGACACATTAAACACATGCTCTTTTATGAGCAAGTCAGTCTTAGGACGTGCATTATAGAATCAAAGCTATGCCCCACTCACATAATCCTTTTCCATTTACTTCCAGTTTATAGTTGCAGCCTTTTTAAAATCTCTTTGCCAACCATATCTGAGCCAAGTATCGAATTCTAAATTAACTCTGAATCTATGACCTCTTATTCAGGCCTGGTTCCTGTTTCTTTATTACAATATATTGTTTATTTTTGCAAAGGAGAACAGACAGTGACTTTATAAAAGTGCTGAAGTTCATAATTCCTATTATGTGTGAAAAATAAAAAATGGCAAGGGTGTGTGTGCAGGGAGGGTGGGGGATTAGGTATGGAGGTATAAACACAGGATTTTTAGAATATTTCCTCAACTATCATCACACAGATTTCCCTTTATGACCATAAGAGCTGAAGCTTTGCTCAGCTACATCCGCTGACATTTAGATAGATGAATCCCACACTTAATAATTGCAATCAATCCTGTGAATGCCTTTAAAGGATCACTACACAGTTTTGGTAATTATGAGGCAATGAAAATATACATTAAGCATTGCTTAGACATTTTCCTGCTGCCCCCTCTCCCTCCAAGGGTGTGAAAGGGCTGTGGAGTTTCCCAGGACAAAGGTGTGCTCTTTTCCAAGCTCTCTGCTGTTCACCCTTAGTGAACTCAAATATTTGGGCTACAAAAGAAGCATTAGACTTTACCCTGAGAATCAGATTTTTAACAGGACTAACATCTTGCACATCCATCAAAGCAGGCTGCACAGTGATAATGAAATGTGCACAGGGGTCAAAGCATAAGATGAAGAGAAGGCTGAAGGGAAGCAGTCTGTTCAGCTTTAATCACAGGCACTGATCACTGAGTTTGTATCCCACTGCTGTCACACACAACCTTTGAAAAAAATGATCTGCATTTTCATGTAACTTCAAAACAAAACATTAATCTAAAATGATATTGTGGATTTCAGTTTTATTTTAATTGAAAACAAAATAAATCAGTACAAACATGGGAAATCTAATGGCAAATACTGTTTGTTGTGTTCTATAAACATTGGCCTTCATAGTTTCTTAATAAAGTTTTCCTCAGATGCACAATCCATCAACAGAGATCCTAACTTCAGTGGTTTGTGTTTATTAGTTTATTGATCCACTGTTTGATTGCAGACAAGACAGCATTAGCAGATGTCCAAGCTACAGTTCTTGAAAAACAGAAATAGCTCCAGGCAGACAAAAGTTCTCTTATCCCTAATCTAAATATTTATCATTTTTCTTTCTCCAAAGGCAGACCCCTAATGCAAAGCACTCATAGAAGCAGCATATGTTCCAATTAGTTCTCATAAAATATTTTAGAAGTCTCTATATCCCGCTCTTATGCAAAATACTCCAGCTTTAAATACAATTCTAATTTTGCCTCCATAGTCCCATTTGCCAAAGATAAAATAAAGATGTGGGAGGGGACTTGGGAAACTGTCCCCCCGAATTACCCTGGGAGGTGACAGGTGTGTAGTTCCCCGCCTCCCCTGTTATCAATCAGTATGTCTGTCATCCCTTGGT